GAAGTCTTAAAAATTCTGTTTTTTTCCACAATGAGTACTACTAAGTCATTCTTAAAAAAAAAAAAAAAAATTGCCTATTTTATCAGAACCCTTTGAGGGGCTCTGGCTTTGCTGGTGCCCTAAGCCTGGGCTGTGGGCAGTTAGGAACCAGCAGGTGTGAGAAGGGGAGGTGGATGCACATTGTTCCCAGCACCTCCTTTAACCCTTACCCCCACTTGGGCAGGAGGGGACATGAGAGTCCCTCTAAGTTGGACCTCCAGAAACTCTGTTCTATTCTAGTTCTCACATTTTGCATCCTCTCAGCCTCAGCAACTTGTCTAATCTTTGATCTCTGGCCCGTCCACCCTATTTCGTCAGGCCCACAGGCCCCTCAGAGTTCATGGGGGCGGAAGTGGAGAAGTGAGGAGAGGTGCGTGTGAAGGGCCAGAGTCCCTAACAATGTCCCCTTCAGGGCTTCACAATACACATTTGATCTTAAAGCAACCTTCCCAGTAATCCCTTTGGTTATTTCCCTTTGTCTCCCCTTAAATGCTAAAAGGCACCTAATGCCTATTTACATTTTAAATCCAAACTGAGTCCCCTACCCTCCCTTCAAGCCCAGGCTCAGGCTTGATTCAAAACACATTTTGGGGAGACATTCTCTGGCCCTTAACTGTTAACCACAGCAGCCTAGCTCAAGCCAACTGGGCCTTCCCTGGCTAGGGCCCTTAGGTGGCAGAGCCTCTGAACCCAGTCCCCAGGGCTGGTGACTCCTGCAGCACCTTCTGGCTTCCCTCATCCCCTCCCTCACCCCAGGGTTCCTACCCAGGCTTTCAGAAACCCTTGCAAGTGGAGGTGCTTCCATGAGATCTTGTGCTGTACACCCTTCACAGATAACAACACTGAGGCCCAGAGATAAAGAACCTGCCCAGAGCTCACAGCCTTGCAGTCCTAGACTTCCCCCTAGGTCCCACTGACAACTCCCCTGACACTTGAGCCTGTTCTCCAGCCAGGCTATATTCTTGTGGGATCCTCACTTCTCTCAAAGCCATCTATCTCTGTTCAGAAGTCCAGAATCAGACTGTCAAAGCTGGAAGATTATTCATACATCCAACCCCTTCTCACACACAGATAGGAACTGGGGCTGGGCAGTGTAGGGGGAGACGTGGATCACACATGGAATTCGTGGAAGAGCAAGATCCAAGCCAAAATGGGGGCTCCTGACTCCTAGTTCATCTTCCTGTTGCCGCTGGTCAGGCAAACCTGTTGTCTTCAGGCCCAGATAACAATGAGCAGGTGTATCAACCAGGCAGGGTGTGCCCAGGGTTGGGGGTCCAGCAGGGAGCAAGACAGACCCTGCTTTGCTCTAACAGAGTTCTCAATACTCAAGTAAATAGGCAAAATAGGGTCAGATAATTATAAGTGCTATGAAGAAAATAAAGTAGGGTGATGAAAGGAATTCTGGGGAAGTATTTTAGCACAGCTGGTCAGGGAAGCTGTTCTGAAGAGGTATTTATGGATTGAGATCTGAATGAAAAGAGCCAGCTACAGAGCAAGTGCAAAGGTCCTGAGGCGGGAACCCCCTGGGTATGTGTGAGGAACAAAAAGGCCAGTGTGGCTGAGGGCAGATTTATTCTAAGTCTGATGAGAATTCGTTGGAGACCGTTAGCAGAGACAGGACACACAGGATTGGACTTCTGTTAGCGGCTCCCTCTCCTTCTGTATAGAAGACTAGAGACCAGAAGTGGCAGGGCTTACGGAGAAGTGGACAAATGTGGGGCCTGACTGATGATGGATTGGGTGAGGGTAGAAGAAAAACAAATCAGAGAAATGTTGTGCTTTCTGGCTAGAACAGTTTGTGAAAGTTTGGGAAGGAGTTTTGTAAGACAAAGTCAGGAGTTGTTTTAGCCACGACACAGAAGAGATGTGCAGATGGCAGCAGGCAGCTGGATGCCAGAGTCTGTTATTAAGAGGGAGAAATCAGGGCTGGGGAAAGTAAGGGGGTGTCATCAGTGTATGGATGGTGTTTGGAGCCCCAGGACTGAACAAGCTCACCTAGGGAGAAGACCCATCCCCTGAACTTCCTCCAGACCAGCCAGGCCCTGGGGAAGGGGTGTCTCTGCTAGGCCCTGGCCATTTCCAGATGCTCCTTTTTTTGTATTTTGTCATCTTTCATTGGCCACTTGAGGCCTTCCGCCCATAGTCTCCTTAGAGGTGGGAGGTGATTGAGAAGTATCCCTGAAAGCTGGCAGGACCCCAGCTCTAGATACTAACTAACCTCTTCCTCCAGGCTTCAGTTTCTTCATCTGTATAATGAAACCACTTGGTTCCTGCCAGCTTCCAAAGCCTGGAACAGGGTCTTCCTGGACCCTGGTTCACAGGTCCACAGGCAGTGCCTCTTCTCGCGCCCCGCCCGCCGCCACTGGCAAAAGCACCCCTCCAGTGCCAGGAACCCATCCAGGCTGGCGTGGACTCTGAACCATGTCTTCTATATCCTTCCCCATGGCCGGGGCCACACTGCCTGCCTGTTGTACCTCCCTCCTCTGATTTCTTCTCTCCTCCAGTAATAGCCAGGCCTCCCCAGGGTTCAAGAACCTTCCCTCTGCCCCACACTAGCTGCACTCCCTCACTGACCAGGTGCTGGGTGTCCCACTCATCTAAAGGAGGTTCCCTCTCATTTTCCCACCTACCCAGGTCAAATCTTCATATTTTTAAAAAGGGAAATCTGAAATCTGGACTGCATTTTTAACTGAAATAGCGTGATTTTTTAAATCCTGAAACTACTGTAGGTTTTTTAAAAACACTGGGTGAAGAGTCCAGCCAGTGGGTCTTGGAGTGGTGATCTTGACCTCCATGGTAGGAAGTCTACCAGTCTCCTCAGCTCTGCGGAACCTGTCCATTCTGACCATAAATTCACTTTGAGTGGGCTGCACTGTGACAGACCATCCCTTCCTTCTTGAAACTCCCTCCTCCTTAGCTTCCGTGACACCAGCCATACCTGGTTTCCTCCTTCCTCTCTGACCGTTCTTCCTCTGTCTCCAATGGAACAGCTTTCCTTTTCTACCATTTCCCTCACCCAGCATGCTGCTGCCACCAGCTCCAGATTCACATTTCCAGCGACCTTCTCTCCCATGATGGTGGTACAAATTTCAGTCTAGGGGGTGCCCTTGCTGCCCACACTGGGGTTCCATCAGGGGCATTACCCTCTGCTCTCCCTTTGACCTTTCAGAGACCAAGTTCATACACCTCTCAGCCTGTCACCTGGTCACCTCTCCACCTGCTTTCCTCAGCCAGCTTTCTTCTGGGTATCCCTGTTCCCATCCCATCTCCAGATACTGTGGTTTACCCCAAGAGGGCTCCCATGCATCTCCCCAGTGTGACCTCTGCTCATTTTTGGAAGGATTCTGCTCCTGGGCAGACATGGATGGACAGCTGCCCCTGCACCTTGCTGTTTCTCTCATTCTCCACAAAGCCGGGCCCTCAAACCCGCATACATCTTGCATTTTCAGAATTCGAGGTCTTTGCTCAAGCAGTGCAGTCTCTGCAAGACCCTTCCCGTGCCTCCACTCCACAGGGCTGTCTCCAGGGCTCAGCTCAAGGGCACTTTCAGAAACCTCAGCAGTCCACTCAGGGGGTCCTTCTTCCTGGGAGAGGGGCTTGGCTTTCTTTGCAGTGTACTCAGTCCTGGGGGCAAAAGTCCTTTCCTGGCTCCATGCTCCTGAAACCCCTCTTCCCCTGCAAAAAAAACCTACCTTTCTCAGCCTCAATTTCCTCCTCCTGGGGCTTATTCACTGGCTCTTCCAAGGGAAAATGGGGTCTGTGCGGGGACTATGAAAGTTGTGAGCGCCTACAAGAGAAAAAGGACCACCATGCTTACTCAGAGGGGCCTGCCGGGGCAGAAGGCCCAAAATGCGCCAACTTTTACGGACCTCATAGCCTCCAGCTCTCTGCACCCTGGAACCCTAATTATCTAGCCTCCCGTTCTACCCAGCCCTCCTCTATGCTTGGGTCTCAGAGGACTGTTTCTTGTTTGCGTCCCCTTCTTGTCCCCCATAGTCCCGAGACTAATCATATACTCCAAAATGATCAGCTCTCCTCCCTGAGCGTCTCCCCGTGCTCTCAGCTTCCCCAAAGTGTCTTCTTTGGCTATGAGATTGTCCCGCGCCTCCTCCGCACTCCCAATACTGGATCCAGCATAGCTCACAGCCACCGTCCTTGGCGGAGGATTTCGCCTGGAAGCCGAAGAGCGGAGAGCCAGGAGAGGTCCCTCCAGGACTCACTCTCAATTTCCCTCCTCAGACAAAAGGGGGAGAGGTGTGGCCGGGATCTAAGAACAACTCTTCCCCTCCTCTCCGGGAACTTCCCTGGGGATCACGACCTCACAGAAGCCCACCCAGTCCCGCCCTGGAGCCGCCATTTGGGTTGGGATGGCGGGAGGCGGGGGGGAGGAGTACCACAAAATGGGGTACTTGGAGCGTCAGCGGCGAGGGGTTGGGGGCAGTAATGAAATGTCTCCAGAGAGGCACTGCGGTCTTCCCCCACTTCCTACTGTGTGGTACCCGAGCCCCGCGAGGCATAAGACCGCTTGTGCACGGCTGGAAGCGGGCGGAGGCCCTCCTCGATGTCCCAGTTTACGTCACAGTGCCCCAGTCGACCACGTGAGGGCGTACCCTGTGTTAGTTCGGCCAAATTAAAGCTAATCCTAAAGGCAGGCCGAGGGCTCCCGGGACGCGTTCAGGGCTTGGGTGCCCGTAGCGCACTCTTGGCTGCCGGCCGCAAAGTTCAGGGCCGTAAGGCCTCCCCCGGAGCCCGCGCTATTCGCCCCCAAACCGGGTCCCCCCTCCTCTCGCGCGCCCATAGCCTAGGGTGCACCCTTTCCTTCCCCAATGCTGGGCCCTTCCTGGGCGCAGGGTGCCTCTTCGCTGCACCTCGGGCTCGGGCCCTGTCTGAGGAGCAAGTGTGCAAGTACAGCGTCGCCGGAGAGGCTCGGTCCGGGAAGCCAGCGGCCAGGGAAGGGGCTCCAAAAAGCACAAGTCGTAGCTGGCTCCGGACCAGGCTGTTGTTGTTCTCAACGTGGTCCGCCGCGGAGCCATAAAAGCGGAGCGGGGCGCTCTCTCCGCCAGAGCGCACGGTGCACGCCTAGCTATCTCTGGTGGTGCTACTGTCACCGGCAGTGGCAGCAACAGCTCCTTCGCGCCGTTTCTCGGTTCGGACCAGCTCCGTTCCGGTTTCCTCTGCTCCGGCCCAGGCTCAGGCCCAGGCCCAGGCCCAGGCCCAGGCCCAGCTCGGGACACCCGCTCCAGCCGGCCCGGTCTCCGCCCCAGCCCTGCCGCCTGGCCCCAGGCCCGGCCGCGGCCGCTCCCGCCTGGAGCCGCCGCGCGCCCCCAGCCCTCCGGCGCCCTCTCGGCCCCTCGCCTTCCTCTTCCCGGCGCGGCCTCCGGGCTTCCGCGCCCCGCCTGCCACCAACCCGCTTGCCACCATGTCTGTGGAGCTTGAGGAAGCCCTGCCGCTGACTACCGCCGAGGGGGCGGCCAAAAAGGTGGCCAAGGCTGGCGGCTCGGCGGCGCTGTCCCCATCCAAGAAGAGGAAGAACAAGAAGAAGAACCAGCCGGGCAAGTATAGCCAGCTGGTGGTGGAGACCATTCGCAGGCTGGGCGAGCGCAACGGCTCGTCGCTGGCGAAGATCTACACGGAAGCCAAGAAAGTGGCGTGGTTCGACCAGCAGAACGGCCGCACCTACCTCAAGTATTCCATCAAGGCCCTGGTGCAGAACGATACGCTACTGCAGGTGAAGGGCACCGGCGCCAACGGCTCCTTTAAGCTCAACCGCAAGAAGCTAGAGGGCGGTGGCGACCGGCGCGGATCCCCGGCGGCCGCCACTGACCCGGCCGCCGCGGTGCACAAGGCCAAGGCAGCGGCCCCGAAAGCCGCCGGCGCCCGGCGCTCGAACCAGAAGCCCGCCAAGGGCCAGAAGCCTGAGAAGCGCTCTCACAAGAAGGGCGCCGCCTCCAAGAAGGACAAAGGCAGCAAGGCTAAGAAGGCGGCGGCGACGGCGGCTGGGGGCAAAAAGGTGAAGAAGGTGGCCAAGCCCAGCGTCCCTAAAGTGCCAAAGGGCCGCAAGTGAGCGCTCCGGCCTGCGGGGTCGGCTCAGTGTTCGGTTTTTGTACCCCAAGTGTATGTAGTTTTGTACGGTTAGACCCTAGCCCGGGCCGCTGCGCCTGCTCTGAGTGCAGCGAGGGGCCCGGAGTCTGTCTTCCCCATCCCCCGCCCTCCGTGGTAGCGTTTTTTTGTTTTGTTTGCTTTGGATTTTGAAATGGCCCTGACGACGCCCCCATTGGCTCTTCGCCCTTGGGTTGTCGCTATGGTTACCAGCCTCTAGGCGCCAATGGCCAAGGCCTCTAATCCGCCCTTTCCGACTCCCTACGCTGCCCACCTTTGGGTGTGCGACAATCGCGCGGTGCTGCGCGGCTCTTCCCTTCATCCCGTCATCCTTTTGGGGGGCGCAATAAATTGTTCAAACCTTTGAGCCGCTCTCGTTTTCTTCCGTGTGGAATAAGGATGAGTGCAGTCGGCGTGCATCTTGGGTGGGATGATGGGCCCCAGGAGTCCTTGACACCCTAGATATGTAGTCCTGGAACCTGGAGTCCTGCTCTGATCTGTGAGCACAGGTGGGAAGATGCTAGAGATAGGCCGGTCTCGTCCCGGAGAAGGGGCTCCTGGCCATTAGGGGTAAGGGGAGCAGTGTTTTTTCAGAGTTTACTGATCAGGGCTCCTCAGCAACAGGGTACAGGGCTGGGCCTTTGCAGAGCCTAATTCTGAATTCTGTGCAACTGATGCGACAGAGATAGTTGAGATGTGGAGGCCTCTGTTAGCTAATCTCAGGTGCAGATGGGACTGGAGGGTTACAGAGCAAATTGGGAAGAATGACCACCAGCCCTGCACTAGTTTGTCCAGTTGGGCAGGAGGCTGAGGCCCATTCTGACATGGTCCTATGAAAAGACAACCCTGCAAAACAGATTTTAGATAACCCTAAAACCTAGAGAATGTCCTAGAACTGGAGTAGTACAGTATCAAGTAGGACAGGCCTTGTCTGGGGTTAGGTGAGAAATGCAGGGTATCTTTTGGTCCCTGTGTAGGAACTAGAGGTAGTTGGGGAAAAGGGCCATAATTTGGGAGAGGGGAGGGAGCACCAGTGGAGAAGAGCCCTTGGCCTACTGGTACCACTGACCTGAGCCTAACAGCTACTAACATCCCCTGGCATACCCGCTGGGGCCACAGGGTACATCTCCACAAACACCTGCCACCCTGAAGACCCTTCCCACATGGGGCAAGTGGCCACTCCACTTCGAGTTTCTTCAAATCTTGCTAAGGGCTCCTCCCCACTGCTACCTACCTCGGGACTACAGGGCCAGGAGCCAATGTGAGTCTTACCTGCTTTGTTCTGTGTTGGGCCCAGAGAACACAGCAGTGGTTAAAACCACCACAAGTGCCTGCCCTGCAGTGGGCCAGGGCTGACAGCCCCACCTACTCTGCCAGCCCCTGTCCTGGCCATTTCCTGATAAGTAATAGCTTCACTTACTTTGCAGTTTTGATTGGGGGTTAATGTGCCTGGCGCCCTGCTACAGGGTCATTGTGCTAGCCCAGGTACTGTCCCATATTGACTGCAGGGCCAGCCAGTAGGCCCCAGCAGCTAGAGACCATGAGAGGCCTCAGCCTCAGGATTCTGAGGCATGATGCTCCTGACCAGTTAAAAGTGATCCCTCAGATTCCACCTTCCTGAAACCAGAAACTTAATGGCTCACCCCAGTTATCTGTCAGAATCTGAGGCGGGGGGCTAGGACTTTGCTTTCTGATCAGCTCCCAGGTGTCTCTTGAGGTTCAGAGAGAGGATGGGTTACTGCAGGGGATCCCAGCACTTGAACACTGTTTCTTCCTGCTCAACAATTCACCCTGAGCTTCAGCCCCTTGGGGCCATCCCACCCCCAACCCTGCTGACCGTCTGTCCTTTGAGGACATCCCGTGAGTTCCAAGGGCTCCCCAAGTACCCTTCAGGTTATCTGTATTCTGCAGTGCCTTTTCATATTTCCCACCAAAGTCCTCCCTTTGCCGCTCACACCTCCTGGCTCTCCCAGTGGCCTCCTGCTTGGATGATGCTGTACCCCTCTCTCCTGTCACCTACTTTCTATACCTTGATAACTTGGGCCCCTGGCTGGCTGGCTACTTCACCCTAAGGCCTGCCTCCTCCAGAAGTCCTGAGGCACCCCATGGACCAGCCCTTGGGGGCAGGCCTCTGAAATCTTCCGATAATAAAGAACATTTTAATTTTCCTCTGAGGACCCATCCACCCTACTCTCAGGACACATGGCTCTGGGAGTCTGACCCCTTCAGTCTCAGGCATGATTGCATGACTCAAAAATAGCCAGTGAGTGCTGAGTTAGTTGTTCACTTCACCACAATGATTGGGTCAGAAATGGTTTCTTGTCCCTTGTAGGTTCAATGAGAGTCAATCCTGGGACTTTTCCTGGTACTACTGAGAAAGAATGCTCTCTCTACCAGAATCACTAAAGGTGGGGATATAGGGCCAGAGTTCCCAGTGGCCATCATGCTCAACACATAGGGAAAACCTACCTGGAAAAGGAGCCAAGACAGAATGTCAGAACCCAAAATGGAGAAACAGATACCTGAGGACATGAATGGAGCCTCTAGATCCAGCAGTGCCTGAGGCTACTTTAGACCTGACTGCCATGTGACCTGATACATTGTTTTTAAATAAGCTAGTTTGAATTGAGTTTCTGTCACTTGCAATCTGGTCTCTCACTCCTTTGACTCTCTTTACCTTCCCATGCTCATGACCTGACTTTGTCATCCCTTCAAATTGCTCTTCCTCTAAAACCACTCTTCAGTATCTCACTCCCTATCCTCAGGCCCCTCCCCTCTCTTCCCAGCTTGCTCCCTCAGGCCCTTTAGCTGAGTTGCACCTCTGCGGGTGGGTCCCGCATTTCTAACATGCACCCCAAGTTGAAAGACAGATGGCTGTAACCAGCCCCATGTAAATGCTGTGTGTGCCAGGAACTCTGAGGAAGGCTGCACAGGCCTCATCAGCCTCATGACAGCCCCAAGGTGTTTGAAAGCCCGTCTTACTGGTATAGGTACTGAGACTGGGAGACTTTATTTTCTGCTATGACATTACACTCAGCAACTTCATAGAGCTGGGGAGCTCAGGGTACATCATTTACCTACTGTGTCTCTTGGACTTGGTTTCAAGGAACCTCAATTCCAGATGAACGTTGAAGGCCCATAACACTGCAAGGCCCAGGAGGACGGCTTCCTGGGAGAGGTGACCTCAGTGCAGCAAGGAGGCAAAGGGCAAGGTATGTAGCAATGGCTCAGTCTGGGACACCTCTCAGCACCCACTGATCAAGAGGGAGGTCCAGTGGAACCAGGTCCCAGAGGCTGAGGTCAGCATTCTGGATCCGGCCCCATCATGGTCTTTTGGTCTGGGGCAAGATTGTTTTTCCCAAGCTTCAGTTTCTTCATCTATAAGCAGAGCCATAGATGATTTCTTTTATTTATCTTCTGACTAGGGAGGGTCTGAACACATTGCTTCTGGCCAGGATCTCCAGATTTTCCTGCCTCCATCACTTGCATCCCCCTCTGTGTATAGCGCTCTCTCCTCCTGCCTCCCTGTGAATCTCCTCAGGATCTCAGATATACCTTTGGAGTCCCTAGATCCAACTTATCCCTGGCCCCAGGACAGCCCTGCTAGCCCTGGAAGGGCCCCTTTCCAGTCTATGAAGCTTTAGCAACCCATCAACTTGACTCTTGCGGACCAACCTAGCCGAACCTGTCCCTCTGCCAGGCAGGGCTTAGCACTGAGCACAAGATCTGTTGGGGAGGTCTGAGAACTCAGCACAAAGAGCACTGACATCTCTGTGCCCTGGCATCAGACCTTGGATGATGTGGCCAGAGGCAGGTCTATCAGTCATGAGGCAGCAACTGCTACTGGGGCCACTTGCAGTTGCAAAATGGGCACAGTGACACTTACAGAGGTATTGGGAGAACAGACTGCAATTTCCTATATCAAGGGCCCAGTCCACAGCCATTCATTCAGCACATACTGACTGAGCAGAGGCAGGGACGGGGACCTATCAGATCTGCTCCCTGTTCTGGAAGAACTCAGCCACATGCAGGAGGACATTTAAACCAGCAGATCTTGGAGTAGGGACATTTCAGGCTGGAGCAGCACTAGCACAGGACCCCCAAGTATGGGGAAAGCTCCCGAGTTTGGGGAATGGTGAAAGCAATGAGTTGACTGACAGATTGTGAAGCAGGAATAGTCAGCAGGGCTCCAGGTTCCTGTATCAGAGTTCAACAAAGAAACAGAACCAGAAGGAATATAGGCACATACACAACCACATATTCAATTTACTACAGGGGACTGGCCTGCACACTGTAGGGCTGATTAACAGTTCTGTAAGTCTGAATCTCTGCGACTGATGCTGGGGCTTGAGGTGCCCAGACAGGAGGTGAAGATCACAAACAGGCTGAAACCAACTAGCACAAGCTGGAACCCCAGAATGGACTAACACCTGTGCCCATTCTTATTGACTCTGACTTTGGTGATGAGGGTATCCTACAGAAGCAAAGGCCCTTTGTCACAGAGCTAACCATGCATACACCTGGCTAAGGGTTCAGAAAATCTGAAGGGGAATCCAGGGAAACAGAGTAATTGAAGGCCTAGGTGCTGCTTCACACCAAAGAGGTACATCAGTGGATCAGCAACCAAAATGGTTGCTTCCTCTCTACTCTGGCAAGTATCTGCTTTGTGACCCTTCCTAACAGGAAACATACAGGTAAGAGAGTTCTGAAAAATGTAGTTCAGACTAGCAAGTTGACATTACAAAGCCATCACAGTTCCTCATTATAAAATTAGGTCTGTGTGTGATGAGGGTAAGGAGAGACTAGACCAGGGTCTCAAACACAGAGGTGCACAGGCACCAGGCCAGACAGGGCATTCTGGCCAAGTGGAGGACACAGATCCCACCTGAATTGGAGTAGTGACTACCCAGTCCTGCTGATTGTTGCCAGGCAGCATTGTGGCTCAATATGGCCAGAGCTTTTCATTTTTTCAGACCATGTCAGAAGCACCTCATGAAATGTTTCTACGTGCCCCCTCCAGAGGCAGGGGACGTGGCCTGTGCCATTCAGGGAGGCCTGGGGGAGGGTGCTTCAGCCTGGCAATGGTTTCACAGGAGGCTCAATCATATGAGTCACCTCTCAAGAATTTTTTTATGTGAAAACTACAAACTTTAATTTTTTGTGTGAAACCTCCCACTTTTAAGATGTATGCTTAAAAAAATATTCTAGCTCACATCCATTAGGATGGCTGCTATAAAAAAAACAGAAAATAAATGTTGGCAAGGATGTGGAGAAATTGAAACCTTTGTTCACTGTTGGTGGGAATGTAAGGTGGTGTAGCTGATGTGGAAAACTGTATGGAGGTTCCTCAAAAAATTAAACAGAATTACCATATGATCCAGCAATTCCACTTCGAGTACACATCCAAAATAATTGAAAGCAGAGTTTTGAAGAGATATTTGTATACCCACGTTCATTGCAGCATTATTTACAACAGTCAAAATGTAGAAGCACTCCAAGTATCTATCAACAGATGAATGGGTAGACAAAATGTGGTATATATGTATAGCCCTAAAAAGGAAGGAAATTCTGACACATGCTACAACATGGGATGAATCCTGAGGAAACTATGCTAAATGAAATAAGCCAGACACAAAGACAAATACTGTATAATTTTATATGAAATATCTAGAATCAAATTTATAAAAAGTAGAATAGTGGTTGACAGGAACTAGCTAGGGGGAGGGGGAATAAGGAGTTGGTGTTTAATGGGTACAGAGTTTCACTTTTGCAAGATGAAAAAGTTCTGGAGATTAGTTGCACAACGTGAATATACTTAATATTATTGAGTTATACACTTAAAAATGGTTAAGATAGTAAAGTTTATGTTATGTATATTTTGCCATAATTAAAAATAAATGCCATATGGGTGAAACAAAATCATGTATGAGCTCAATGTGACCTCCGGTCTCTCCTTTGAGATCACTCAGTTTGATCTTCTATAAGGGCCCTTATGGCTGCTTCACGAGACAAGAAGCCCTGGATGGTGGTGTCCTCAAGGAAACTGAATCAAAGGAAGCCATAAAATGGTGAAAGCCAGAGACCCAGCCATCGGTCCTGAGGGTCCACACCATGGGTAACAACCTCTCCACAAGATTGTCATTAGGATCCCAGACCCTTGTGTAATGCACCCTACCCTACAAATATGTGCTTCCATAGGTCTCATTTCTCACTCACCTTCTCTTGCCTCTCTCTCAGCTCCAATCTTTCTTGTGGCTGCCTCCGTTATGGGCCAGGAGTGTGGCACTGCGGCCTTGCCCCAACCTGTCTGCCTTTTAAAACGTGTTGTTCAGCTTGATTGTCCAACCCGTTTCACTGATGCCTCCAGCTCCTCCAAATAGTCCTCAAGCTTCTGCTGCCCACTGAGAGTTTTGCTTGCAGAGCCTGCAGCATGCCTCTCTTCCCTGGAGTCTCAGGACACAAGGGAGAGGAGATTCCTCATCTATCTCCATATGAGGGACACCAGCCCAAAGGTACGTTCTGGATCTCCAACAACCAGCATCTGTTCCTCTGGAAGTTCAATTGTGAGTACCCACTCTCCTGATTCAGAGATGGGCAAACGAAATGTCAGAGAGAACAAGGACTTAGTCAGTTTTTCACATACTGGGAACCCTCTCATACAACCTGAGCCGAAGCTCCTTTCCTCAAGGAATGAGGTTCTACCCTTCCCATCACTTGCTCCTTCCTCTGGTTGAGGGGAGGGAGGGTGTACAGGCCCAGATGGGAAGCTAGGAGTCTGAGGCTACCCATTCCTTTCTCTGGTTCCCACCACCAGCCTGCCCTTTAGGCTTTCCAGGTAGCAAGCATGATCTTGTCCAAATTCTCCAAGATTAGATACCCCTCCCAGGCCAGGAGCCCCTTGGATTTGTTCTCAACTTACCTATGTGAAACTGTGTACCTTTGGCCAAGCCCCTCCCTTGCCTAGGTCTGTTCTGCCTCTATACAAAGCAGGGTTGGGCTTTAAGCACACAAGCTTATCACCAGGAGATGGTTCCAGTCGAACAGCAGACATGAATGGAGGATGGACATCTGTCTATGAGGACCTGAAGTGCTGGAGACCATCTGCCTCTTCTAAGGATAGAAGAATTCCCTAAATTAGGCCTGGAATCAAGCCTGGTAACTGCACCAGTAGGACGGGAGTGAAGACGGGCTGCCATCTGGGAGCCTAGCCCAGGGACAAGACAGCCATATACTGGAGCTGTCCCATTTGCCCCAGAAAAAGCTGGGGTCCTGGCTTGATGGGCTATAACCAAGCAGGTGAAGGCTGCTTTGTTTGTCCCTGAGATTTGTTCTTTAAAAACAAAGGACAGGATTACATGCTCCAGTGCTCTAGTAAGCAAGATTAAGTATTTGCAAAAAGTGGGAAAATGGTGATTCGCATGCTCATGAAGCAAGTGAAAATTTGGAGAGCAATCTGGCAATACCTAGTAAAGCTGATGACCCAGATTAAAAAACAAAACTGCAGAATGTCTAAGATACCATTTATGTAAATCTGAAATCACAAAATATGATCTCAGATATAAGAATGTGCTTTTAACATCACGTTTATGTGAAAGTATAAATATCTGAGGACAGTTTATTCTTTCATGTTAAAACGAAAAGACCCTACCAAACTTAGTTACCCTGACAATGGGGAGATTAGTAATCAAAAATAAAGGGAATTTAATTTTTGTCGCATATTAAACCTGAATCAAGTATGACAAAAGCCATAATGGTAACTTATATGTATTTTTAATATCTCTCAGTAAAACCACCAAAACTCCATGCAAATCAACTCAAACAAAACTGGGTGTCGTGGTGAAACCATCCCTGGCCTCAGTGCAGGGTGCCTGAGTACAACCACTAGCTAATCTTGCCTCCTCAACCATAAGGGCAATCTGACAAGGAACTTAGAGCCAAGGCAGGCTGGGCGGGTCACTGCAGGGGTCAGGGGCAGAGATCCCCCTACCTCCAGTCTGGGCTGGCTCCCTGCAGGGCCTGTGTGAGGTGCCAAAGCTGCCCTTTAATTGGTGGAAATCCTGATCCCTGGTTTGCATAGGGCCTGGGCCAGTGCCTCATCTGGGTGGTTCAGTGGCAGCAGGGGGCCGGCACTCGCTCTGTCCTGTCAGCTAGGCTGCTTCTGTCCAATCACCTGACGTCTTATCAAGCCTTGTCTCCTGGAAGCTGCAAAGAAGAAAGAATGCCTGGCCTTGGTGCTTCTGGAGATTCACAGACTCCATTCCCTGGATCCATAGGAAGTTCTCCTCCTGTGACAGCAGTGCCCTGCTTGTGCACACTTGTGCACGAGTGCTTAATTGCCAGGTATGTCACCTGGCAAATGCCTGTGGCTCCTTGCCTAGCACAGGGCAAGGCTTGTAGTTAGTGCTCAAATTTATTTAACAAATATTTGCACACTTACCGTTAACAATGGGAGGAAAAAAGGTGAAAAAAGCCATCCCTGCTTTAATGGAACTAATGATCTGGGTGGGGAGGGACAATAGCTAACCACCCCAAATAAATATCTAATTATAAAACCATTCAGTTCCAAGGAGGAACCTGCAGAGCAAATCACAAAGGCTCTGACCAGGCTGGGGCAGACAGATGGTCAGCTCTCACCTCTACCCCAAGCCCAAGTCATCCTCTGTGTCCTAACCTGCTCTACCCAGAGGTTGGGAATTTGGATAGGGCTTGGAGAGCTGTGATTGGGACTCTCACCCAGACCATACACTCCCTGTGTAAGGTCAGGGTCTTATCCTCTGTACTGACTTCTCCCTCTAGCCCCTATGTTTGGCAGGCAGTCAGGATGGTTTTAAGGTAAAAGATTCAGACAGCTTCCAAATTGACAGGAAAAAAAAGACTCAATAAAGAACCCCCTTAAGCCTTTTTATTGTTTCCAAAAAAGCAGTTTTGTCTACAGAAAGCCCCAAACAGTAACCCAGAACTCTCCTCAACATTAGCTGCATTTTCTGAAATGTAGAAAGTTTATCAAATATAATTTATTCAGAAAAAAATACAATGTTTTAAAAACTTAATTGCAAAAGACTGAAAGAGCCCAAAGGCTGAGCTGAAAATGGCCTTTTGCTAACAGGACCAGGTCAGGTTGGGGCTAAGAAATGCACGTAGGGTCAGGCTTTGAGGAAAGGTTCCACTCCTACTTCTTCCCAGGCTGCCCACAGCCCCATCATGGGTTCCTGGTCACAGCCAGAATTGCCGTTCCCCCATGAACCCACAACTGTCAACTAACACTGTGCTACCTCCCCCTAAAGCAAATCCATACATACACAATACAAGAATCTATTATCAGCAACAGTATTTAGTGCAGCAAACTGTGACCTTGGTCTCTGAAAGTCCTGCATTACTGGCTCTGAAGCCGCTTGGCCACTGGCTCTTCCTCTTTCTCTTGCTTCAGCCATTGCTCCAGGAGTCTAGCACTACCTCTCTTGGTGGTGAATGGGCTCTTCTGTAGGAACTGGCTGGACCAGTGGGGCACATCTGACTCTGTCTTTTGGGGTGTTTTGAGGTCTTCCTTTTTGGGTGACTTTTTGGCCAGCCACTGCAACATCCTCTGGCTGCTGCCACTTGCCTCGAGCTCCTAGGAAAAAGACGAAATATCTCAAATCACTCAGCTCCAGCTTTTGGGAAAAGGCTAACTCCAAGGGAAGAAAGAAAGGAAGAGGCATTGTTACTAAGGGCCAGATAGGGCCCACTAGTGAGGTGTGGGAAGAGAGGAGCACCTGAGTGTGTTCCAAAGGGTGCCAGGGGTAGGGAGTAGCTCTTAGAGAAGGCTTTGCAGAGGAGGTGTGTGGGGCCAGTCAGAGAAGAGAACTGACAGGCATTCAAACAAGCAGAGAATGAAGCATTCTCAAGAAGAAGAATGTAATTCATTATGACCAGGCAGGGAGTTGAGAAATGAAGCTGAGGAGATAATGGCTTCAAACAGCCCGCATGAGAAGGGATTCGGCCTAAGTCTGAACGGTCTATTTCCCTACTGCAAAGACCCTCTGCATAGCCTCTCCTTGCCTGGCACTGCTCTTCTGCTTCCCTTACCTGCACCTAGGGTAAGGGAAGCTTACTGAAAAGAAGGCTCTGAATTTGCAATAATGCCACATCTCCAGAATGTGAATTCTTTTGGAGTAAAGGCCACTGAGAAATGGGGCTGTGTCTAGTGCAAAAAGAATCATTTTTAGAGACATCTAATAAAGTGTCAGGGTTGCGGGAGTTTGCAGAGAACTGAGACAAAAGAAAAAGGATGACAGCTACCCAACATTTTTCTTTCAAGTTTTTAAAAGAAAACTTAATTGCTGTTCTTACAATTGTCATCCTTAACACTTCTTGGGCATTCTAAGATGCCTATTCCTGGAACACTCAGAGCCATGTCCTACTTCAGATTCCTCTATGCCACCTAAAAATAGTTGCTACTCCTAAACCTTTATCCCCAAATGTCAATAGGGGCCAGCTTTTTACTGTGGAGCTCCTCTCCCTATTGCAGGCCTGTTGCTTGTTCACCTTCCTTTCAAAATACATCTTCTGGATCCTTACCAATTCTAAGAAGTTAAAGTTTATGGCAGGAATGTTCTCAACTTGTCCTAAAAGAGGACAAGGATTAGAACTCCTCCAACTTGTGGCTGAGAAAGCAGTACAGAGAAGAGACATCAAAAATCACAGTTGGTTATGAACAGAGATACAATTATGGTTAAGGCCTCCTTTGCCTTTCTCACAATCACCCTCTAGATTAGGAGTCTTCACACTTGGCATATTATCAGACTCACTGAAGAAGCTTCAAATGATACAGAAGCCCAAGCTCAGTCTGGAATATTGATTGACTCAGTAGTTGCAGATAGGTGCTGGCATTTACATTTTGGAAGAGCTCCCTAAAGAACTCTGAGTTACAGCCAGCTTTGAATCACTGCTCTACTCAACCTTGCCCTGAATAAGGAATATGCATTTTGGGTGGTTTAAATGAAAACTCTGAGTGTGTAAAAGGCCATATTCTACAAGAAAATGCTATACGGACAGAAGACAGAAAGCTCAAAAAGAACTGTCAAAGTTACAAGCCCTTACCTTTTTGACCAATAAGTCGACAGGAACCAGACACTCAGGAGTGTTGTTTTGGGAGTTGTTCACCACGGGAGAGACTGGATGGAAGGTGACATTCTCTGTGGGGTGGATTAACTTCAGAGCTTCCTGAGTTGAGACCTCACCAAAATCAAGCCATTTAGAGACTGCCTCCTCTCCATCTAATATGGCAGGCATCCTAGTTAGTGAGGTCAAGACATTGGTTGGGAGAGGCAGGGTGAGGGTGAGGGGAAAAGGGAGAGAGACTTGAGTCAGTTGATAGCACAAATTATCACAAGGAAAAGCTCACTTCCCTCTGTACCTCGCATGCTGATTACTGCCACATGCTCCCTGACTTGACAGGGCACAAAATTTAACACTAGGAGAGCTAGCTTATAAAGTTTTATGGCAAAGACAGTGAATAGTGCTATGATTGGATCCAGTGCACTCCAGTGTACATATTAGCAAACTGGTGACCTTTCTAAGATGCCCCAGCTTAGAACTGTCTATCAACAATCATCTCCAGCCTTAATACCTATGACAGATTTACGGTAAGAAAGAGCTATTCACATAATTGTGAAAAAAAGGAAACTAAGCCTCAGAAAGCAAGATAACTTCTGGTACCCAGAAAGATGTTAAGAAAGATCCTATATTTAGCTTCCAGTTTTATATCCTAGGCCAATGCAAAGCGTGGTACACACTTGACTATAGGAGATAAATGTATAAGCGTTTATTTTAATATAATTGTTATCACTTTGATTTGTTTAAATCGAACATGTACTTGAAAAAATATTTTATAGGGAGTAGGTAAACATGTTCACTTCCCACGTGACCACATCCAAATTACAACTAAACTATAAATCAACCACTCTTGAGAAGTACCTAAAGACTAGCTGAACAGAATTCCTATAACTATGGATATAAAAAAGCCACGTCAAGACTGGCAGCAGGGATGGAGATGCAGAATGAACAGGTCCCACAACCACATGTGCTAGTTAAGAATCAGAATATTTTGGCTGTGGAGTACCTGCTGAGGAGTGAACCATTCCAGGCCCACACTGGGCTCCCCAACCTGGAGCACCAGTGACAGGAAGAAAATACTCCCTGTAAAAATCAGTAGGGACTCACCACCGTAGGCTGTGGAGTCCTTTTTAAGGGCCAGAGCACGGACTCACTCCATCACAAACACTTGCCCTAAGCTCCAGTGAAGAGATAGCAGCTTGAAAAGCACCCCAAACACATGGGGGAGGAACTGACTGGCTTCAGGGCAAGGGCTGGAGCAGCAGGAGCTACTGTTCCTTCGTTCAGCCCATCCCCAACCCAGCCAGCAGGTCCAGGCAGGCACCAAACCTGAGTCTCTTTTAATCTCACTCACACAGCTCTTACCCCACCCTAGTGATTTTCTAAGACCCCATTCCACTCAATTCACCCTCCTGGCCTGAACCTCTTTCAGCAGCTATTTCTCACAAGTGGCAGGCCTTGGCCAGTGCTGCAGACTTTGCTAAAAATCTCTGGAAAATCCACAAACCTCAAATAAGCAGCACCTGGCCTTAGCGTGCCCTGTACCTCTTGCTAAGTGGCCCCAAGCCTGGCACTCGTGACTGCAGCTTCAGTTCACATCATAATGTATCCCAGGTGCCTGTAGCTTCTACCAGGTGGCTCCAGCCTGATACAGGCAGTAGCTGATCTTGGCCTGCATTGGAGCCCTTCCCAAAAGGCCCCAGAATCAACATACCCAGTGGCCAGTGTCAGACCACACCAGTGCACCAGCCAATTAGTGCCATAAACAACACACCCAGAGCCCTCCTAACATGAATCCCGCTCTGTGGGGTCAACTTCTGCACAACAGCTTGTCCACTGTAGGCATGGCCAGTCCTTACATCAAGTCAGCCTGAGGGTCAATCTCATTTACTGATGTGCCAACAGCAATCAAGGCTCAATTACAACAGGAGAGCACACACATTGCACACAAGGGACACCCCTGGAGTAAATGACTCAAGGAGACTGTGCCACTGGGCTCCACAGGACACCTATTACATAAGGCCACTCTACTAAGACAGAGACATAGCAGCCCTCCCTAATACACAGAAACAAACAAAGGTAGACAGTCAAAATGAGGAGACAAAGAAACATGTCCCAAATTAAGAAACAAGACAAAACTTCAAAAAAAGAACTAAACAAAATGGAGGCAAGCAATCTAATAGATATAGAGATCAAAACACTGGTTATAAGGATGCTAAATGAACTTAGGGGAAGAATAGATGAACTCAGTGAGAACTTCAACAAAAATATAGGAAACATAAAAAAGAAGATAAAAAACATAAAAAAGAACCATTCGGAAATAAAGAATGACTGAAATGAAGAATATATTAGAAGAAATAGAAGATTAGATGAAGCATAGGACTGAATCAGTGATTTTGAAAACAAAGTAGCTGAAAACACCTACTCGGACCAGCAAAAAAGAAAAAAAGAATTTAAAAAAACGAGTACTCTGGGACAACATCAAGAGTAACAATATTCACATCATAGTGGTGCCAGGAGAAGAGAGAGAACAAGGGATTGAAAACCTATCTGAATAAATAATAACAGAAAACTTCTCTAACTGGGCAAAAGAAATAGACATACAAGTCCAGGAAGTGCAGAGTCACTAACAAGATGAACCCAAAAAGGCCCACACCAAGCCATGTAATTAATGTGCAAAAGCTTAAAGACAGACTTTTTTTTTTTTTTTAATTAAAATTATTGAGGTGAAAGAGAGGATCTTAAAAGCAGCAAAAGAAAAGCAGTTAGTTACCTACAGGGGAGCTCCCCTAAGACTGTCGGCTGATTTCTAAAAGAAACTTTGCAGGCCAGAAAGGAAGAGCATAAAATATCCAAAGTGATGAAAAGCAAGGACCTATAACCCAGCAAAGCTATTATTTAGAGATAAACAGCTTCTGAGACAAGATAAAGCTGAAGGAGTTCATCATCACCAAACCAGTGTTAAAAGAAATGTTAGAGACTTTTTTAAGAAGAAGAAAAAAATACAAAAAAGGAAATATCACATACACAAAAAATTCCCACTGAAAAAGGCAAACACACAATAAAACCAGTGGATCAATCAACACTAAAGCAGGTTCAGAAGTTAAAAGGCAAAAAAGGTCAGAACAGCATGTATAATTATGACAGTAAATTAAGGGATACACACAAAATAAGTAATAAATGACAAAAGCATAAACGTGGAGGGGGTGAGTAAAAATATTAGTGATTTTTGAATGTGTTCAAAGTTGGGTGACATTCAACTTAAAATAGACTGTTATAAATATAGATTGGTATCTATGAAGCACAGGGTAACCACAAACCAAAATATACAAGAGATATACAAGAAAAAAAGAGAAAGGACTCCAACATAACACTACAGAAAGTCATTAACATGCAAGAGGAGAAAGTAAGAGAATAAGAAAGGAACAGAGAACTACAAAAACAATCAGTAAACAATAAAATGGCAATAACTACATAGCTGTCAATAATTTATTTAAATGTACATGGATTAAATGCTCCAATCAAAAGACGAATGGATAAAGAACAGGTGATACACACAGACACACAGACACACACACTGAAATATTACTCAGCCATAAAAAAGAATGAAGTATTACCATTTGAGACAACATGGATGGGCCTAGAGGGTATTATGTTAAGTGAAATAAGTCTGACAGAGAAAGACAAATACTATATGATTTCACTTATTTGTGGTATCTAAAAAGCAAACAAACAAGCAAGATGGAAGTAAACTCACAGATACAGAGAACAAACTGATGGTTGCCAGATGGTAGGGGGACTAGGTGAAAAGGTGAGGGGATTAATAAGTACAGGTTGACAGTTACAAAATAGTTATGAGCTTATAAAGTACAGCTTAGGGAATGTATGGTGCCAGGTGGGTATGATTTACCAGGGGAATCACTTTTTAAGTTACATACATGTGTAACCACTATGCTGTATACCTGAAACGAATATAATATTAAATACCAACTGTAATTTAAAAATTTCTTAAATTTTATAAATAAAATAAAATTGATGCGCCACCCCCCACCCAAATATTCTACAATCTCTGAAATCCAGGCGCATTTTATGATGAATGACATCTTTGCATTGTATTATAGTTTAGCTGGCAGTAATTTGCAGCACTTTACATAACAGCATATAAAATAATGGTACATTTCAAAATGGATGTGTCTTAGATTAGATGAAACGGGAATTTATTTTAAGGTGAATTAGCAAACACCAAAACTACTTTATGACATGAGAGCATACTTTCACAGAGAATGCTTAGGACAAGGCTAAAATAAGTTATCCTGATATGGCAGCATTATATTCTTTTCAGCAAAACATCAAAATCACTTCTGAGGGCACTCAGATTTGGCAAAAATTGTGAAAGTGTTACACAAGTATAGTCAGTTCTGGTAGTTAAGTTACTTGTTTGAAAAATGGAAATCTGTTTCAATGTGATTGATATATTAGAGTGTAATATAAACAAAGATTTGCGTTTGCTTATACACAGTTTTGTCTGTGAGAAAGACAAGGTAAACACAGAAAACTGTACCCTGCTGAAATAAGCCTTGTAGGAATACACAAAATACACACATGCATAAAACTCAAACATTGACAGCTATCTTAGTTCACTACATATTAGCCTTCAAAGTTGTGTTTTGCTTTTATTTTGCATTTGTGAACTTCTCTCTACATATAAAAATACTATTCATTCAACATCTTATACATGTCTAAGCTTCCTAAATCAGTGCATGCTAAGCAGTGCATATAAATGGGAACTTTTAAGTATTGAGAAGCTTGAAATAACAAAGCATCTTGAAAGTAAAAAGAGAACATTTGATATCTCCTGAGCAACAGACATAAAGGAATCCACATAAATGACAACATTGTGAAAATAAAAGGAACATCCATAGCTGGGAAAACTTCAAGAGGTGTTGTGAAGTCAATACCAATCAGGCCTAAAGGAATAGAAGCAATGGAAAGATTCTTTAGCATATGGATTGAATGCCAAACAGTGAAAAACTTGGAAGTGTTTTCACAAGGAGAAAGCACTATCTTTATATAAAGACCTAAGAAATCATAGAGGTGGCTCCTTTTAGTGCGAGTAATGGCCAGTTTGGTGGTTTTAAACACTGATGCCATTTTTAAAGCCTTTAGCTGTTGGGAGAAGACATAAGCACAGATGGAAATGCCGCTAAAGAATTTCCAGCAGTGATACAGAAGTTAATTGAAGGAGGAGGCTATGCATTGGACCGAAGTCTTCAATTTTGATTAAATATGTATATTATAAATACATGCATCAAAGGAGCTATATTTCAAAGGGAGAAAAACGTGCGCAGGTTTAAACCACAAAAGATAATAAATTTTGCATAATCTTCCTTCCACCACTTGACAATAACTCACAAGCTACAACTCTTCAGACACTCACTTCCATAAGCAAATATTGGGTCATTTTAAAGTAAAGTGCCATATTTATTGTAAAATCTATGTATTTATTAATCCCCAATGTATAAAACTGTGGTAGTTTTTAATAGATTACTATTATTTTTTAATGTGCCACTGACAAAGTTTTTAAGTGTTGTCCTCTTAACCCTACTTTTCCCAAAAGTTCTGTGGTTTTCACTGTACTATTTTGCACAATGTGGTGATTTTTAGGAATGCATGTCATGTTATAGCCAAACAGACTGTAAATGTATTTTGCAAAACAACTGTCTTAGTTTCCTACCCTAAATTTGTGCATACAGAAACTTTAAATTCCATAAGCTACCTATCTAAAAGCAAAGAGGACAAACTCTCCCTGAATGCTTTTGGACCTGGAGATAAGAAGTGTGACTTGCCTATGGTGGATGTCATTCAAGCCTTTGCAGGAATCCACTGTGATGATGGTGTAGGAATACAGGCAGTCTCCTCCCTCTGGTGGTTCCCAGCAGTCAAAGAGTCCGGCCATTGTTAGTAGTCTCCAGTTGTCCCAGACTTTCTCCCAGTCTTCAGAATTGTTGGAAGCACCAATGCTGCCTGACTGGAAGCAAAATACATGGGCAGATTAGATACTCAGCAGCCTTCTTCCACACATAGGTTGAGTACTAACTACCACAGACTTAAGAGCATTGCAAACATTTAAGAAATAATTTAGCCCATGCCTTATTAACTCCTCCTGATCCACTGTCACTAAAGAAAAGAGGCTTGGTGGCAAATACCACCAAAGCTATAGATTTATAACTCCTTAAATGTTTTCAGAATACAATTTAACACCTTCGCTAGGCATTTAGGCCTTCTATGATCTGGCACATTATTCCAACTTTCACTTACAATGTTAACCTGAACCAAACCCAGCTGTTTGTAAATGAAGTTCTTATGCAATTTGTTCTCACTGTGTCTTGCTGAAGCAACTGTCCTCTGCCCAAAATGTCATTCCCACCTTTCCTTATCATGCCAAATCCTACTTGCCATTTAAGATTCAGTTCAAGGCCTAGAATATAGAAAGCTAGAAAGGCTTTCACCTCCATCTTAACAATAAGAAAAAAAAAAGCTAGATAATCTATAAAATCATAACTTTTCTTAAACTCATTAGAGAACTGAGGTCACAGGGCAACCAATTAGCTTGAACTTTATAGAAACCAGAGGCCTCTGCAGGAAGATGAGATAAGCACTGGTTTACCAGTGGCAACAGGAGGAAGGCAAAGCCTTAATACAGCAGACAAGAATTCAGAAAAAATTATCATCAAATTGCTAAATGCAGAGTATTGGGCCAGCCTAAGAGTACAGAATCCCTGAAAGCTAAATGCATCAGGGGCGTTTGTATCAGCTTGCAGAGTCTTCCTCACAGACCTCCCTGGGTGTTCACAAGAAAGACAGGAGACTAGAGAAAGCCTTTCTTGCTGGAGCATGCCTAGAAGAGGCGAGCTCTTCTGCTTCAGCAAAGACCTTCATGAAGCCGCACCTGATCATTTCTCTGAGGAATAACAGCCATAAGGGGTCAGAAGAAGGGTAATAAACCCTACAACCCCTAAGATATTGGTAAAGACTCACTGAGGCCAGGAAGGGTAAAAGAAAAAAAACCCTCTACACCCCTGGGGAAGTAGCAAGATCATTGAGAAAGGCTGAGCCTGAGAACCCAGGGCACAGTTCTGCCTAAGACTGAGAATGAGCAAAGATGACAGGGAATGCTTTTCTACCTGCCTTCATATTAATGGCACCAAGTGACAAGCAATAGCAGATAAATTCTGGAGAAGGGGCAAGAGCATGGAGAAATCCTCTCTAATGCACAAGCTCTAACAGAAATACTACAGCTGAAGAGAGCAGGACTACTGAGGAAAACCCTCTGGAAAATCAATCCTTACCCTAAACACAAGAGAAATTTAAAACCAATGGCGAACAAAGGTAATAACAACAACAAAACACAAACCCAGTTTAGCAAGACAAGATCGACTTAATTTTACACGTTAATAGCCTAATATAAGGATAAGTGTATCCATTTCTAGGCATAAATATTATTTATCTCGGTCTCTGTCCTACATACTATGGCGATTAATCAAAAATTACAAGACACAGGGAAAATAATGGTGTAGATAATAGAGGCTCTGTTCATCCCTCTGGTGACTGAATCAAAATTGTGACAGAAACGAGCAAACAGCAAGAAAAAATCGCCTGGGGTCTAGATGAACAAGCCATTCAACTAGGGAGAAATCTAAGAAATCGCCTTGCAATGGCAGAAGGTAGGACAGGGCGAGGACATGAGGCTGCCTGGTGCCTAGCAGCTGAGTGGGACAGAGGCCACAGCAGCGGTAGCCAGCAGCTGCAGACGGCCTCTTAAAGGGGCCATGTCCGCAAGCGGACTTTCGCGGTGACAGACTTGCTCGCTCTGAGCACCAGCACCTGGTCAGCTGCACAGGGGGCACCAGGGACTTACAGGGGCACACTGAGTTGTCGGAGTGAGGGCTAAGGCTAGACTCACTCTGTACAGAAGTGCCGGTGGTATCTATTGTTCCTCTGTTGAGCCCTCCCCTTTCCCAGTGTGTGGGCTCAGCACCCCACAGCCGAGATGTTATCAAACTGGATAACAGAGGTCACTCCACCCAGAGGATTCCATGAAACTCCGCATCCCTCAACTTGTGGCCCCACCCAAGCCACATCCAGGTGTGTCCTCACTTAGTCAGGTGTCCCTTGCTGAGCAGCGCCTAGACTAACACAGGTGGCAGCTGGCCTCCATTTCCAGTATGGCCTTTTGAGGCAACTATAAGCATTGCATCTGTGGATTGCTAGCTCAATCTTAACAGGTGGCCCCAGAGGGGCACAGGCTAGGGCTAAACTTGAACTACAGCTGAACCTCTTTCAGGACTGGGCCACTACACTAGTAAGACCAAGAGACTTAGGAGCTTTGCTTAATACATGGAAACAGACATGGAAAGGCAGCCAAAATGGGAAAACAAATTAGCAGAAGCCATATAAGAGAACAAAACAGAGATCCAGAAATAATGGAGTCAAGCAATCTAACAGATGCAGAGTTCAAAACACTGGTTATAAAGATGTTCAATGAACTTACGGAAAGTGTATATGAATTCAGTGAGAACTTTAATAAAGACAAAAAAATGGAAATGGAAATTATAAAAAGGAACCAGACAGAAATGAAGAACACATTATCTGAGATGAGAAGTATATTAAATGGAGTAAACAGAGAGAATAAAAAAGAGGATCAAATGACCTATATAGAGGATGGGAAAGCCAAGGACACTCAATCAGAATGGCAAGAAAAAAGAAGCCAAGACTATAATAATAATTTAAGGAGCCTATGGGACACAATTAAAAATGAAAATATTCATGTCATAGGGGTAAATGAAGGAAAACAAGAAGTTGAAGAGCTATTTGAAGAAATAATGATGGAAAACTTTCCTCACCTGGTGAAGGAAATAGACCTAAAACCCCAGGAAGCTCAGAGATTCCCCAAAGAGGCCCACACCAAGACACATCATAATTAAAATGCCAAAGGTTAAATACAAAGAGGCAGTCTTAAAAGCAGCAAGAGAAAAGTAGTTAGTTACCTACAAGGGAGCACCCATAAGACTGGCAGCTGATTTCTCAAAAGAAACTAGGCAAGACAGAAGGGCTTAGCACAAAATATTCGACATGATGAAAACACAGGATCTACAACCAAGAATACTTTATCCAGCGAAGCTATCATTTAGAGTTGAAGGACAGATAAAGAGCTTCCCAGACAAAAATAAGTGAAAGGAATGTATCAACAGCAAGCCAGTATTACAGGAAATGCTAGAGGGACTTCTTTAAGAAGAAAAAACATGTATCAAAAACATGAATAAAGGATGGTAATAACTACATTCTTATCAACAAGTACCTCAAATGGAAAAGAATTAAGTGCTCCAACCAAAAGATAGAGTGGCTGAATGGATAAGAAAACAAGACCCCTATACATGCTGCCTACAAGAGACTCACTTCAGATTAAAAGGCACACACAGACTAAAAGGAAGAAGGTGGAAAAAGATATTGCCTTGATAGACCTAGAGGGTATTGTGCTGAAGAAAATGGGCTGGATAGAGAAAGACAAATATCGCATGATTTCATGTACATGTGGAATTGAAAGTACAAAATTAACAACAACAAAAGCGGAAATAAACTCATAGATACAGAGACTATTTTGAGGGATATTAGATGGGAGGGGGATTGGGGGGACACAAAAAGGCAAAGGGATTAAGAGGTACAAATGGATAGTTGCAGAATAGACATGGAAATGTAGAGTGTAGCATGGGGAAGATGGTTAATGTCATAATAAATATGTAAGGTGGAAGAGGGGTACTAGATTTAGTGGGGTGATCACTTTGCCAGTTATGTGGATCTCTGATCACTATGCTGTACAACTGAAAGTGGTATATTATTGCATGCCAACTATCATTGAAAAAAACTCATTGAATTGTACAATGTAAATACAAGCAACTAATTGTCTATTATATTTCAATAAAGAGAAAAAAATATATCCCGGAGAGTAACAAAGAGCCCTGAGCAGAGACACACAGGCTAAGGAACAGGAATGGACTATGGAAGCATAGGGCCTAGACTAAATACTAGAGCTGCCCCACAGCCCAAGAGTGAGGGTAAGGGTCATCTCATCTATACACCTGCATCACTGAACAGTCCTTCAACTAAGAGCCAAAAGCTGGGGAAGCCTTAAAGATAAAGCTCTACTCTCGCCCTGTGGAGCTGAGGGATAAGTGAGAGAAACAGACCTCAAATAAAGCAGTTCCCACCAGTGTGGCAAGAGGAACATAAGAAAATAACCAAGGCTGGGGGCTCTATTGCTAACTTGTTCCTGTTCTCATGTGAGCCTGGTGAGGGACACATTGAGGAGCAAGACTGGTGCTGTCTACCTACAATGACATGACTCCCTATGTGTGTGGGCCTGGGGAGGGGGCCTGCACATGCAAGGCTGACTTTCATAGCTGGCCCAGTTTATAACATAATTCCTTTTACCACTAAGCAATCTGACCACCACTTCCACTTCCTCACCTGTCATTTACTTTCATTGATGTTTTGATATATTTTTTTTATCTGATGCTTTTCAAAACTCAAATAATAAGAGATGGAAAACAGATTAGTCGTTACCAGGAGTTAATCACTGGTTGTGGGAGAGGGGCACGTTGTGACGAAAACAGGGTAGCAAGAGAGAGATCTCTCCTGTAGAAAGTTGTCTGTGATGCCCCAGTCTAACTTATGTGCTGTCGTCTGGGCCCCCATAACCTCATAAGCATTCCTTCCATGAGCATTCACCCCTAGTCTCTGATTGTTGATTTGTCTGTGTCTTAGCAGTAAAGCTTCAAGGATAAAAATCATGTGTCACTGAACTTCCAGGAGCCTAGCAGAACACATGGTATATGTTTAATGAATGTCCACTGAATAGAGATAAATTTTTATGGGCAAGAGACTAATTGTACAGAATTGAGAAAAGTGCCATCCTAGTCCACACAAGTGCTTAACAGACTCTCAAGGAGAGTGCCAGAGGACAAGTCTCTTTTTGGATATACAATTTCTAGTTTAAAGATGAACAAAGGAATAGAAATCTTATAGAGTGGTTCCCTCAAGAAACAGTCTATAAGGGAAGGAAAAGAGTGTCCTTCTTTGGATTAGTTTCTCTGTACTTTTCTAAATATTTACTGTGAGTGCTGATGATAATACCTTTACTGTTTTGATTTGGGGGAAGTAGATGAAGTATGGCTGCCTCTGGCTTGTTCCCTGACTTCGCTGCCACTCGTAGAATCCATCTGCTAAAACAACGCAGCGTCTTCCCTTTCCCAAAGGCACCTGAGGGAAAATGTGAGCAAAATATGGTCTTAGTGATAGAATCATGTGTCATGGACTTGGGTTAAAATATTAGGTCTACCAATGTGTGATCTTAGAGCAGTTATTTAATTTTTCATATGTATAATATCACCACTCACACAGACGTTGAAAAGATTAAATAATGTACATAGCAGCAATAGCTCTCTAACAAATAGGTGCTTGTGGTAGGTAGCTTCCAAAGCTGGCTCTGTAATGAGCCTTTCATCCCAGTATTTATACGTCATGTAGTTCCCTCCCACAGTGATTTTAGACTGGGCCAATAGAATGCTGCAGAGTGATGCTTATGACTGCTGTGCAACTTCCAAGGCTAAGTCACAAAGCCCTTCAGCTTCTGCCCTGCTGTCTTGAATCATGAGCTTTGGGTAAGCCAGATGCCATGTAAGAAGCTTGACTATCCCAACTAGGCACATGGAAAGGCTTCCAGTTGTTCTCCCATCTCGGCTGGGGTGTCAGACATGTTGGTGAAGAAGCCATTTTAGACAACCAGCCCCAGCTGTCACTAGATGTTAACTACATGAGAACCTCCAAGTGAAAACTATCTAGCTGAACCCAGTCAACCCACAGAATATAAGAAATAAAATAAATAGTTGTTTTGTTTTAAACCATCAAGTTTTGGCATGGTTTATTACACAGCAGCAAAGAAAACAGCACTCAATATTAATAACTAGGTACACACTTTGGGACCTTAAGGAAGGTTCCAAAGAGAACTCTATTTTATTTCTCAGGTATATAAGGCACTAACAGCTCTATTAGAAAAAAGAACAGACTATGTGCCTTTTTCCTAGATAAGCTACCTACCTTGAAAGACCGTTTTTCCATTATGGTATCACTACGACAGTTGGCAGTGTTGAACTGCAGCTTGGAAGGATCATCTTCTTTGAACCAAGATGGGACCAAGCCCCATCTCATGGGAGCAATGATACGCTCAGATGAGTCTGCACCCTGCCATGGAAAAAGGTAAAGACTCCAGTGAGGAGATCATAATGAAATTTAGAAAACCAAATTTAGCGCATGCATTATATTACTATTAGTATCAAAATACAAAGAATAGAGAGATTATTAAAAGGAAAGATTCTACTTGAAAACAATTTTAGTGATTTATCATGATGTGAGTAACTTGTGTTCTTTAGCAATCGTATTTATTAGAATATAAGACATTCTGCTTGGATAAGGTAAGCAGAGTTTACAGGAACGAAACCTCTTTGTATCCCTTGGGTAAGAGAATAAAAGACCCAAGGGATACAAAGAGGTTTCGTTCCTGTAAACTTTTAATTAGTTCCTACTATGGAAGAGACATAGTGCTAGGCCCTGCACTTCATGTGCTTCCAGGTATCAAGAAGCACAAGTTACAGACAACCATAATACAATGAGGTACATGCTGTGATTAAGGGATATGTAGAGTGCTATGGGGGCACATGGAGCAGTGCTTAGTCTCAAAGGGCTTGCACTGTAATGTGAGGCCACACAGACATAAATATATTAAGTAATAATATAAACTATTATAGGCTAAGGGCCACATAAGTGGTACATAATGAGTGTCTAAACAGTTCTGGAGAGTGATCTGTGATGAACAGAATGGAGAAATATCAGCTCCTCAGAATGGGCAGAAGGGATGGAGATAGGGTGGGATGATTCTTAAATTGGATCACACAAGTTGTACAGAATTCAGACAGAGTTGGGAGGAAAGACCAGATATGAAATTAGATGAGCAAATAGGCCATGTCAGAAACATGCAGGAAGTGGTTTTGTGCACAAAAGCAAGCATGAGGAAGCTATTTTTAGGAAGGCCTGCTCACAAGGTTGGCTTTCAGTTAGCATCTGGGAACTTGGATTTTGAGTAATCCTATCTTTCCCTTACTGATAAGGATGGTTTACTGTGACTAGTCTGTACAAAAAATGAGTTTTATGCTGAACACTTGTTTTCCTTCTGTGAATCTGGAATTTTGGTACTTGATAAACAGAAAGTGCTTATGTGACCATTCCCCAATACAAACCTAGGGCCCTGAGTTTCTAATGGGTTTCCCTAGGCAGAAACACTGTGAACATGTTACTACATTTTTTACTGCTGGAGAAGGAACGTGCTTAGTGTGTACCCTCACAAGAAGGAGAGAACATAAGGAAGCCTGTGCATGGATTTTTCCAGATTTCTACTTGTCTTTTTCTCTTACTGATTTTATTGTATATCTTTTCATTGTAATAAACCTTAGCCACTATACACTTTATATGTTGAGTTCTTCTAATGAATCTCCAAATGTGGGGGAAGTTTTAGGGTCCCTCAACACATAGATGTTAAATTTCTTTTTGGTAACCGGCCCTTGAGAATTTGATGAAATCTAGATTAAAATGCAAATACACATAGTACACTATGGGTTGGAAAAAACCAGTAGTAGAGAGTGCATTTTGGGTGCTACAATAGTTCAGGGGTCTGGTGATAAGGATACAGTAGGTTTGGTGACAGCAGAGAGAATAAAAGACATCCAAAGATAGAAAAAAATGAAATCGTGGTGCAAAGGGAAAAAGAAAACAAGGATGATTAAGTTTTCAAGCCTAGAAGACTGAAATAATGATGGTACTATGGAACAAAAAGGAAAATCTGAAAAGGGATTTGATTTGGGGAAAGATCATGTGTTGAATTTCTGCAAACAGTGGCAAGTCAGTGGCAGTTTAAAGAAATAGTCACAAAATCTTTCCCGTTCCTCTCATTGAGGGGGTCTGTGTTCCCTTCCTTTGAATCTGGATGGAGTCTGTGTTCCCTTCCTTTGAATCTGGATGGGTTGTGACTTGCAGAATGTGGCATGAGTGACACTATGATTTCTAAGGCTAGGTCAGAAAAGGTTTTCAGCTTCTTTTTTGTTTGCTGAGACATCTCTTTTGGAGCTCTGAGCTGCCATGTAAGAAATCTAACTTCCCTAAGACTGTCATGCTGTGAAAAAGCCCAAGCTGCATGGAGAGGCCACATGTAGGTACTCTAGTCAACAGCCCGGGTTAAAAACCAACATCAACTGTCAGATAAGTGACTGAAGATGCCTCTAGATCAGATGCTGGCAAACTTTTCTATAAAAGGCCAGATATTAGATACCTTGTAAACCATAGACTCTGTTGCAACTATAATTGTTGTTATAGGGACAAAGCATCCATAGACAGATAAATAAATGGATATTGCAGTATTCCATAAAATTTCATTTACAGAAATGGTCAGAGGATCCTAGTTTTCTGATTCCTGCTCTAGATGATTCTAGCCCCAGATGCTAAGTTTTTTCTGCTGAGGCCCCAAACTTCAGAGAAAAGACAAACCATATCTACAATGCCTTGTCTTAATTCCTCATGGGTGAAAATAATGAAGGTTGTTTTAAGTCACTACAATAAAATCCAAGAGGGTTGTTTATTATGTCAAAAAAGTATGTAGAATTAAAGTTTAAGTGACAGGCGGCAAGGTAGATAGAATCAAACTTTTCTGTAATGGACCAGACAGTAAATATTTCTAGCTTTTTAAGTCCATATCATCTCTGTTGCAATGACTCAGGCAACTGAACTCTGCCACCATTGGTAGCATTAAAGCAGCCAAAGAATGAATGAGTATTGCTGAGTTCTAATAAAACTTTATTTACAAAAACAGGCAATGGGCCAGATTTGGTCTGAGGACCATAGTTTGCTAACTTCTGGTATAAAGGAAAGAATAAGGCCTTTGTAAGAAGACCTTGCTTCAAAAATTCCTTCTCTGCTACTTAGAAAGTGGGTCTAGTCTCAACTTCCTGGACCCTCAATTTTCTTTTCTGTCAAAATAGAGTGAATAATACCTACCCTACAGATGCATTAAAATGTGTGGCATGGGATAGGCATACAAATTGTAGTTTAATATTTTTTAAGGTTAGAATTAAAAAGAAATAGTAAAATTTTCTATATAAAGGTGATTGTTAAAGCTATTAGGATAGTATCTTAGCGGGTAAACCGAGCACAGGATTTAACCTGGGGGTACAAAAAGAGAAAAGGCAAAATGAAGGAAAAGTAGAGTCCAAGAAAAAATACCTAGAGAAAAAAAAAAAAAGAAAAAGAATGAGAAAAGTCAAGAAAGGATGGAATTTCAAGAAAGAAATCATCACTAGTAGTTATTTCAGAAGGGCTTCCCTTTTGTATAAGGCTAATCGCTCTACTGTGCTCTTGATAAGATCCTGCCCTGTTTCTTTCAAAATTTTGCCTGTATTAGTTAATCCTCTTTCTACACACACACACACACACACACACACACACTCCATTCTCATTATCATTATTCATAGCAGGTAGGTTCTACAAAGTTGCTGTGAACATTGAATTAGTGAATACTGAACTGATGCTCTTAGGGGAAATACAGGGTTAGTTTCTCATGAGCCTATGATGACAACATATTCATCACTTGATTTACACATCACCTTATTTAATGTGTATTTCTGTTTAAAGACAGTTTATTTCATATGTATTATTGATTCACTGATGTTGAATTCAAGACCAACAGCACAGTAACTCATGCCTGAATGAAGCTTATCTAACACATGTATGTTCTCTGTAAGGCATATCAGGCCTTCATATGTTTAGGAATACCAGCCAGCACTTTAGCACTATGCTTGGCGACAATTTTATACAGTGAAATCAATGACTAAAAAGCACAGAAATGCTAAAAATACAGCATTAAATAGAATGCAAAAAGGACACTTGTTTATAGTATAAGAGATGAAACAAGAAAGTAAAGCTTCATTTTTTTGTTTGCTTTTTAAGAGCTTGGTCTTATTCAATCTCAGCTGAAGTGTATATCAAGCGACTCAAATTTTCACCATTCTGTATTGTCCATGCGAAAGCAACATAAGTATTATTTTGTGGGTTACAAATACATTTTGCAAGTAGGCAAATTTGTAAACATGGAATTTACAAATGAGGATCAACTGTGTGTGTGTGTGTGTATGTGTGTGTGTATGTGTGTGTTCCCCTTAAAGACACAGGCAGCCTAGGTACATTGTATGCCAAGAAGAAAAAAAATAAAACCAATTAATAAGCGTTCAAGATAATTAAGAAAAAGTCAGTCTTGGAAGAATGGTAGAGTAGAAGGCACAAACCCAAGTGTTAATCTCATCAGAGATAGAAGGCGGAAGAAGTTTGAAAACTTGTAAATCTCTGCTTCTAGAATCAAATGTGCCTTCCGAGCAGAAAGGCTCCCTACCATAGCATAAAGAATAAGAGCGATTACATTATATAAGGGCCAACTAAATGATCTCTCATTAGAAATTTGCAAAACAACACTCTTAAATCTGAAGTTCTCAACAGGGGCAATTTAGACCCCCCCCCCCCACCCCTGCCACCCACCACTGACACCACCAAAAGCTGAGGTGGATGGAGAGAAGGGGATGTGCTACTGGCATCTAGTGGGTATATTTGGCACTATCAAGAGACATTTTTGGCTGTTATGACCTGGGTGATGCTACTGGCATCTAGTAGGGGCCAGTGAAACTGCTAATTCTATAATGCACAAGACAAAGAATTACCCCACACAAAATGTCAATAGTGCCAAGGTTGAGAAATCCCACTTTTACAAACCTTTAACCGGAGTGTGTTTAATGGACAATTGTAAATCAAACCCATACATGAGGCTGCCTTCTACTGAGAATGATGAATAAAAAGTGGCTGCGGAGGGAAAATACTGAAAATATTGCTCAATATTAGTCATCTTTTCCCCTACCTTTTTGGACTTATGAGCAGAACAGCTGGTAGCACTGGGGTAGATAAATGAAAGAGGAAGTAATCTGCAAATCAGTGGTTTCAAATGCAAATTTTGCAAACTATACATCTGTGCCAGCCGTTAATATGGATTAATATGCTGAAATGGTTCTAATTTTGCTTTACAATTTACATGTTTGAGAAAAATGAAGCCTCAATTACTTATCAAAATTAGGAACCCCCCAGCAATCTTAACAAAATTTATTAGAGACGTGGAATCAAAATACTACATCAATCAGCAAATTCACACTACTGACAGAAAAGGAAGGCTATGCTTACTAGGGCTCCACCTTCCCTATTCCTAGTTCTAGGACACATCCCCGGGAGTGAGGACAGCGGTCTGGACCTAAGTCCCAGAGCTATACTTCAATGACCGGGTGACCTAAGACAAATCACAATCTTTCTACTCTTCTCTCTTTACATTTGTTGAACAAATTTTTCTTTCAGCTAATATTCATTCTATAATTCTAAAGCGGTGGTACAAAGAGAACCAAGGCTAAAAAAGAATAAGTCTCATGTAATTAATTCCTCTCTCAAATTATACCTCTTTTGAAACATGTGTTGTTTCTTTTCCCAGTCAAGTTCCCCATGATATTCATTTTATTTTGATTATCTGTTCATTAAAGAAAGTTTTCTTATTTCAAGAGGGAAGTATGTATCCATTAAAAATGGCTCAAGAATAACCATTTTATGTTAATGGCTTAATTCAACCAAAAAGATTAATATTATTTGGTCCGTTTATTACAAAATAATGTAACCCTTGTAATGTAGAAATTAGTCTTTTTTGACTACCATATTCTCAAAAGGGTTCTGAAGAGTATGTTGTAGGGGTATAATCATCTTTATAAATTGATTTAATAATTATGAATCGAACAGAATAAAAATTCAGCATGGAAACAATCATAATTTTAAAAAATATATCAAGGGCATTTAAAATTTAAATTAAAAAAAGACATGGAGAAAACATTAACTTCTGATATTAAGCATTTTTATCACACCACATGCTTGTAGTGAAGATAAAGCAAAAAAACTAAAACATGATTATAAATTATTGGTCACTCCAACACTACAATGGTAAATACTACATGAATTTACATATAGTACTAATGAATGCAATTAAACTTCAGAAAAATCAAACCAAATACATGTTTATAGCTTCACTAAAAACAAACATAAAAAAATTGAAAACACAGCAGAATGAATAGAAACTTCAGTGTTCAAGTAACATCAGAGGTGTTTTAGATTAGCTAGTCTTAATGCTGCTCTAGGCCCAGAGATTTTGATTCAGCTGGACTGGTAAGGGGTATGGAAAATTTTTTTTTTAAGATACTCAATTGACCCTGATGATCAATGATGGTTGAAAGATACTGTCTTAAAAAATGTATTCAAATACAAGGATCATATAAACTTGATATGCATTAAGGGTAGTATGCCTTGTATAGAGAAGGCACTTAAATTAGCCTGAAGGATAGTGAATTATTTTTGAAGATTAGAAGAAACCAATACAACTCCTTTCAGTGAGGCCCCGAGTAGTTCTCAACTGAGGATTCAAATAAAGGCTGGTTTTAATGTCACCTCAGAGGCTGAGCATACACCAAAGATGACCCTGAACCACACAGATTTGAACTGCATGGGTCCACTTATATGTGGATGTTTTTTTCAGTGAATACTGTAAACATACTTTATAATTTTTCTTAATAACATTTCTTTTCTCTAGCTTATTGTATTGTAAGAACAGTTTACAACACATACAACATATAAAATATGTGTTAACTTAGTTTCCCTAATCGGTAAGGCTTCTGGTTAACAGTAGGCTATTAGTAAAGTTTTTAGAGAGTCAAAGTTATATGTAGATTTTTGGATTTTTGGCTGTGTGGGGGTGGGTGCACCTAGCCCGTGCATTGTTCAAGGGTCAACCATAGAAGTGGATAACCATCACAATGCCCACCCAGAAGCTAATATGGTGCAGAAAAACTGGTTACCTTCTCAAAGTGTAGTCGCGACAGAAGCACTGGGCTATTTGATTGAGGGCTCTTGTTGTATGAGGGATAGTACTTGTCAGGGTCTCTCCACTCTGGGAGCCGCTGCTGGCCCTGCCGATCTTGATAGGCACAAGCTCTTGTGAGAACATCTCTAGGTAAGTGACAGGATGTTCGCCCACACATTCTTCAACACTGTTTCTTACAACCTTTAGATCACGAAACATTAGGTTTGTATTGCTCAAATATTAGGTCTTATTCCATTATTTACAGCATTCTCTCAAGATTCCCACAGGACTCTACTTCCAGCACCACCTGTAGTTTTATGTAACCATCTGTTAAATCTACCCCAGGAAAGTCTTTCCTCAAGAAAACAGACTATGCCTGTTTTATCCATTACTCAGGCCCATACAAAGCATTAAATAATTGGGAGGTGCTCCATAAATATCTGACTGAATGTAAGAAAAGAGATTTCCCTGGGGAGGTTAATTTTTTTCAGCTTAATGTTTCAGCCAAGAAAGGCAAAAAGGTACGTCACTTCTGGAGCCACAAGCTCCTTCCTGTACGCGACTCTTTTTCTCCTCACCGTCTCGTCCCCACTCCTTTTCCTTCTCTCCCTTTCTGGGATCCTCACACCAGCGAGCAGCGGCTAACCTGGGTGACGGCAACCAGGGCTGAGAGGGTGCTATTAGTAGCATCGAAACTCAGCTTCTTCGCTGTCCAGCGTGTATCTTCTTCCCAACACCAGGGACCCCCCCAGGCCGCCCCGCCCCGCCGACCCCAGGCTCTTGGCGCACGTCTAGGCGTCAAGGTGGCCCAAAGGTTCTCCCGTTGGCGCCACCTCGCCCCTCCGCACCAGGGCTGGGGTCCCGCTGTCCGCCCCAAACCGCCTCACCTTCACCTCGGCCCTGGACGGCGCCCGCGTAGTCCCACCCCAATTCAGAGCCCGCTCGGCCGCCTGCGAAGCTCTCCCCCACCCTCTCTCACGCTCCGCGGACACACGTACCCGGCGCTATGCCCCGCCTCCAGCGCCACCGCCCAGCCCCGCCCTCAGCGTGGGAGGTGGCCTGGGCTTCGTCCCCTCCCCCATCCTGACGACGGAAGGTGGCCTGTGGAATTTGAATCTTCTAAAAGTGCCCCAGGAGACTAGGGTTGCCTTCGGGTACTCCTCGATCTGCGTTCTCAGAGCTCCACTTTCTTATATATTCGGCTGTTCCCCTGTGGTGTTAACTCCCCTACTAGGGCGAACTGCAGAAATGGGGCTGGGGAAGAATCTGCAAGGACAAGTCTCATCCCTGTGGCGCTGGCAGAGATTCTAGATGCATTCCAGGGAGCCTGAAGTGCCCTGCTTCGTATAGCGGGAACCATAACTCTAGGGCACCAAGTTGTTGTAGGGGTGAAATCAGGAAACATTTTCTTTGCAGTCCTACTGCCTCATAGTTTGGGGCAAAACTTAAACCATCAGGAAAACTTCCACGAATCACTCAAGTCACTCAAACTTCATTGGGCGCCAGAATGAGCCTTTCCAGGGTCATCTTCCCCCACTACCCCAATCTGAATCTCTAAGGGTGAGGTCTAGAATTTTTTAAAATGGGCTTTGCAGATACATGTATTACAGCCACAAAGCTGGTAAACCACCTGGCTTGAGTTTAAAAATACAACTGAGGTTGCTGCTGAGCCTGCTCCCCTGGGACATAAACCAGGGATTTCTGCATCTGGAAACAGAATGCTCTTTAAGGGCTGTTCTTCCCCGCTGTGCATTCCCTGAATTGGACTCAAGTGGAAGCAGGCAAACCACAGAGCATACTCCATCTCAGATCTGATGCTAGGGAACACCAAACCCTCTGGAACCTCCATCTATCTCCTAGAAAAGGAGGGTGGTTGTGAAAATGCAAGAATAAGTGCATGAACTCTGTCAGAGGCTGCATTCCCTCAGCAAACCTGCACTGCTCCTGTTCCTGGGTGTGGGGCTGACAGATGAGGACTTGCCTCATGGTAAGTCCCGCAGCCAAAGGGCTATGGACGCAAAGGGGATAGAGTAGGTGTTTTCTTAGTGGTGGTGAGAAGGTGGAGCCCCTATGCATGAGTCTGCAGAAGTACCAGTCATTCAATAAATACATGCTGATTTTTTTAATAGGGATAAGCTGGTTTCTTTGGGGATAAACTCAAGAAATCCGAGCATTTTATTTATTTGCAATGTCCCTCCCTGGCAGGCAGGGGAGCAAGTTCTAGGATAAACTAAAATCATCCCCTATTAATAAAAAGAAAAAAAAAAAAAGTTACTCCCTAACAGTCCTGGGGCCAAAGTTAAATTAAAAAAAAAAAAAAAAATCCCCAATGATTCCTAATTGTTTTTGTATATAGAGGCTTGGGAAGGAGTTTCCACTGGATACGTGACGAAGGTGAAACTTCTGCATAGTGCTGGGGGCAGAGGGGAAAAGTAGGGTTTATGCAGCCTGGCCTCTTAGCCCACAGATGCCAAAATGATGTCTACTGGCAGCTCCTCTGAACTTCTGGCTGTCACCTGCATTGTAACTGTGTCCAAAAGCAGCAGCCGGGAGCGCACCAGGATGTCATGACCACCCCGGAACACACCTAGAAGGGAAGAGAAAAGTATAGGTGTGTAAGGCAGAAGCTACGCTGAGGGTATCATTCACAGCAACTGATCAAGGCAGATCTGGGGTAGTGAAATGGGAGTGAGTCTGGGACCAGGAGACCTGGGCTGAAATCCCTGAGTGAGGCCTTGCACAAGTCACTCTACCTCTCTGAGCTGTAGAATCTTCAGCTATAAAGTGGAGGAGATAATAATACTGACCACATTTTAAGTTTCTGCCAAGATAAAATGAATTAATGGACATATTAGTCTGTACCAGGTGTCACAGAGGCTCTCATACATGTTGGTTGAATCTAAGAGCACAGATAAAGGGACAGCCCCATCATGACAAAACTAAAGAGCAGGTGTCTGCAAGACCCAGGGGACTGGGTTGCTTCAGTGTGGCCAAAACATGGGCTTTGGGGCTGTCAGCTGTGAGCAGAGCACTGAAGCAGAGCAACCTCCCCACCCTGTTAATACTCAGGAAAAAAACACCACCCATTTCCTTTTATTTATTGTTTTAGGTGTGATAATTGTATTGCCCCTTTCCCTTTTAACAAAGGGTCATTATCTCTTAGAGAAAAGCACTGATACAGAAAGATTTACATACAAAATGCTATATTTATAGTTTGCTTTAAAATAATCTGGGGGCAGGAGCTATAAATGCTGTAGTTGTTGAAGCTGGAAGATTAGCACTTGGGGGTTCATTATACTATTCAATTTTTGTGTACGTTTAAAGATTTCCATGATGAATGCTTAAAATCCCATTCCTATTAGAAAATTAGACAATGAATATGAAAACAATTCACACAATAGAAAAGACAAATGGCACTTCACATTTCAGAAGATTCTTAACATCATTCAATATACAAGAAATGCAAAACAAAACTACACTAAGATACCATTTTCCACCCAGACTGGCAAAAATCATAAAGTTTGATAACACACCACGTTGTCCAGAGTGTGGGAAGATAGGCATACAATTCCTATGAAAGGCAACTGGAAGGCAAATATTTATCAAAATGAGAAATGCACTTTGACCTCAGCACACACAAGCAAAATAATGTGTGTGTGTGTACATGAATACATGTATGTGTGATTATTTACTATAGCACTGTTTGTAATAGCAAAAGACTGGAACAATCTAAATGTTCATCAATACAGGGTGGTTCTATAAAATATGGTACATCCACACAATGGAATATGAGGCAGCTATAAAAAAGAATAGGGATTCAGTTTGGGATGATAAAAAGTTCTGGAGATGGATAGTGGCGATAATTACACAATAATGTGAGTGTACTTAATATCACTGAACTGTACACCTAAAAATGGTTAAAATGGTAAATTCTGTGATGTGTTTTACCACAATTTAAAAAAAAATGAGGAGACTCTATGTATTGATAGGAAAGATCTCTAAGATGCACTACTGTCAGTGAAAAGCAAAAGCATTTGTACGTAAACATTTGAATTAAAAAAGGGAAATATTAGCTTTTATATTCATAACATCACTGGAAGGACATACTGGCATTGTTTGTAATAGTAGCAATGGTTGCCTGTTGGAAAGGAACTGGATGACTGGCAGCAAGGGTTGGGAAATAGATATTTCACTGCAAGTCTTTTTTTTTCTTTGTGAATCTTCAACACTATGAATTTAGAATCTTTCATTCCTAGCGGGAGCCCTTAGCCCAGGCTGCAGCGGTATCCAGGCTGCAGCTACCCAGGCCCTTCCTACCCAGAAATGCTGCTTACCAGCCAGGAGCAACATGTGGGTGTTCTTATTATCTGGTACTTTGTCTGACCTCTCACAAGGGTGCATTCCCAGGAATTTCACAATATTTCCCACAGCCTCTGTAGGGAGAAATTCCAATATCATTAAGTCATATATGTTGTCTCCCCTTTGTGCCACCAAAACTCCCCCATTCCCTAACCCTGCTCTGAGGGGCTTTTAATGAAGTAGCATCTGAAGTATGTGCTGGAGACATGGCCCTGGGTCCCTGCGGGGGAAGGGGTGGGGAGGAAAGATGAGGAGTACTTTAACAGCAGCCAAGGATTTTACCTTCAAGTGTCTTGATGGTAGACAAGGTGAATGTCTCCTCCTTCTCAAACTCTTCCCCTACCTCATCCCAGGCTGCTTCAAAGTTCAGCTTCATGACCTTTTGGATGTGATCAGCTATAGTGACTTCCAGATCTTCCAGCTGGAGAGATGGATGTAGAAGTTAGGCACATATCTCCAGGAGACAGAGTCCTAGCTCTGCACACCTCTGGGCCTCTGCTCTGAACTCACTGCTCACTCCTGTTGCAACACATTAAGCAGGTAATTCTAGGTACTGAGCACTGTGCTAGGCTCTGGGAACACGTAGCAACTTGACCAGGTATCTGTCCTCAAAGTGCTCACAGACAAGCAGTCACTTCAATGGAAAACACCCTGACTCAAGTACTTACCTTGGAGTTTCAGCTGCAAGATCACATCCTTCCTAAAAGCCTCACTAGAGTCAGTGCCTCAAGGATCCAGGGACTGTACAGGAATACTCACAGAAGTCTGACTCAGCATGTCTTCCTGCTTACCTCAGCTGTGTCCTCTAGGCCTGACATATATTTGATCCACACCTCAATCTTAGCTGTGTCCTCACTAAATATGACACACAATTTCCCCCCTCCCCAACCTTGGACCTGAGTGTACATAAGGATTCCCCATTCATTTACCCAGCAGATCTTCATTGAGCCCCTACTCTTGCACATGTTTAAGGTGTGCATAAGTAGGACTCAGCTCCTATAATAAAAATAATGCCTCAGACCCAGCTCTCCCAAGGAGCTCACTTGGTCCCAGGGCAGTTTTTGCCCATAGAGTCACTATTGGCTCAGAGAAGGCCCCTTCTTAACAATGGTTCTAGGATGACACAATAGTGATATCAGTTGTATTCCACAGTGACTGGCCCTCTAGTCATAGCAGCTCTAATAATCTCTGTCTCCAAACTGAGCATCATGGTCTATACTCAGGTGGCACTGAACCACTGCCCCATGATCAAATCCCAGAATGACTCCATCCAAGCTCAGAAAGGTAGAATTGGAAGGGCTATTTTAGTGCATGAAAGGACTGTCTAGCAGATGCAAACTCATCTAATTTCTCTAAAAAGCA